AGAGGTGGTGTACCAGAGGTGGAATACCAGCGGTGGTGTACCAGAGGTGGAATACCAGCGGTGGTGTACCAGAGGTGGAATACCAGCGGTAGAATACCAGCGGTGGAATACCAGCGGTAGAATACCAGCGGTGGAATACCAGAGGTGGAATACCAGAGGTGGAATACCAGAGGTGGAATACCAGCGGTGGAATACCAGAGGTGGAATACCAGAGGTGGAATACCAGCGGTAGAATACCAGCGGTGGAATACCAGAGGTGGAATACCAGCGGTGGAATACCAGAGGTGGAATACCAGAGGTGGAATACCAGAGGTGGAATACCAGCGGTACAGTAGTGTCGGCAATTTCCGGAGGCAACGTTAGAACCAAGGTAGTGAGGAGAAAGCAGTGAGAAGATAGGGAGGGGAGAAGATAAGGAGAGGGAGGGGAGGAGAAGATAGGAACTTTGGTGGGAGATTACAGGGTTTCTTTCCGTGGAAGTGCACCGCGGCAACCTTGCTGTCTCCCACGTAACCGACGTAGATCATCTCATTGTACCTGATAGCCAACGATCCTGTGCAGCCACTGTGCATGATGTCAATGCCCGACCTACCCAGCTCGTAGTCGGCGTGCGCAAACAAACCGTGTATGAACTGAAGAATATTACTCCCTGTAAGTTTCTCTAAAACCAGAACCATTAGTCCGCAGAGCACATAGTTCCAATCCTACGCCCAGTCCAATCTAATATCTGGGTTCAATCAACTACCTAGTCCAACACCACATTCCATCCAACATAAGCACGGAACAGTAGGCTTACTCTGATACTGGAATGTTTCCTGAATTCCCTTCTTGAAAGCTGTTGAGACAAAGTCGGCGACATCGTGCCCATTAGACCCATGCCCATCGAAGACGCCGAATGCCGTGAATCTTGGGCCAATCTCCAGAATAAAGGCACGGTCTTGGTTTATATAAGGCTTAACACTGTAGCCTGACTTCATTCCTGCAGGCACATAGACGGCATGACGTGACTGGCTCGACCGGTCGGCTCCCCATCTGGCCCACGAACAATCGGCCTGAACAATCCGCCTGAACACATGGAGCAAACTCTCGAAACCAGCATCCCACGACCACCTTCCCCTCTTACCTACCCTTCAGGGAGATGAGCACGGCAATGGGATCTGCCGAGTGCATTTTTTAATTGCGACTCAGCAACGGTCCCGGCGGTTTATAATCGTCAGGATAGACAAACAAACAAAGGATCAGGCCTGACCACCAGATCAACTGGGAAAAAGAGAGCCTCAGCCAACCCTCCCTCCCACTGCCCCGAAGTCTTGGTGCCATCAGACCATGATCCTTTCCCAAGTGATTTACTTACTAGGATCAACAAACAAAGTGCTCTCAAGGTCCAGGTGCCCTTCGTAGGTTTTTGATGGACCTCGTCCAAATCATATGTATGCCTGAAACTTGTTCTCGACGCCCTACCATTCACAATTACGGAGGCCGAGGAAGGCAAATACGAGAAATGAGTCGGCCCGATTCTGCTCTTCGGCCGGCATCCGGCTTCCGGTGCTGTCTGGACCCTTACGACTACTCGCCCAGAAACAGTCTGCGGAGGCAATGGCTCCACGTACGGGTAGCCAAACGGATCTCGAACGTCCGTGGTACCATCTGCATTGTGGACGCGCCAGCCAATTCTTGTGCAGGTTGCTAAAGCAGCTAGCAAGCCACTAAAAAATCCGCCCTGCAAAACAGATTTCGCGCGCGCGCGGACACGCGTGCGGCAGTTCAGGAGACAGTTAGACGCAACTTACAATGTGGGCGTATATGTCAATATGCGGTATGAACGATGTAATTACAGCGAATATACAGCAGGACGCGGTGGCAGTAAATATCGTCTGCGCCAGCGGTATGGAATCCCAGAATTCTACAAGCAGAATGTAAGGACTAGAGAACAGGTAGAAACAAAATGTAGAAGCAAAAATGTAGGAACAAAATGTAAGAACCAATGGTATGGAGACCGGGGCCGCAGTCGATCTTACCGAATATGTAAACTAGCAGGGCCCCGAGAACACCATAAATTGCCCCGCTCGAGCCCACGCTGACTACGTTGTCATCCAGAGCGCACGATGTCATGTTTCCGGTCAATCCGGAGATCAGGAAGACAAACAGAAATCTTCTGGTTCCCCAGTCGGGTTCAATCAGTCTGCCGAGCGCTAAAATCGCGGTCAAGTTTACGACAATATGAAAGACTCCTGCGTGTAAAAAGATACTCCAAAGTAAACGCCATGCCTCCTTTTCCTTGGTTACCAAATACCGCGTCATAGCGCCCCCTCGTATCAAAGTATGCGCAGTTGGTCCCAACATAACATTGATACTCATGGTTTCAAAACCCTTGTTCAGAATCACTCTACATCAATTGTATTGAATTTTTACCGCAATTGCCGAACACGTGTGGTATAGGGCTTACATCATGACAAATAAGGCGACATCGATCCAAAAGACCGCCAGGGTCACCTTCATCTTGCCTCCAAATGGAATGTTCCTGGCAGCCGGATCAAACGGTATAAAACAGCCTCCTTCAAGTGGAGTGATCGACGTCACATTATCTCTATCTAAACTAACTACTGCCATGATGTTCTCTGAGACTTGAGATTCGTAAAGAGTTTTGGGTCGGGGAAACAAATCAGAATAAATCTCTCGCGTCTGGTTTCTTACGGGCTTGCTGAATAGCCAGACACATGTGTCAAATGAGCAGGGCCCAAGGGGGTATACCTAACGGGGATACATCTCAAGCGAGTGCGTGCGAGATAGTGTGGGTCATGCTACCTTCTTCCCCGTCCCAACGATGCTATGATCGTTTCAGTGTTCTGGATAGCGTGCAAGAAGAAGGGCTTGTGCCTGTGTTTGCGCTTCTGAAAGAAATCTTAAAGAGAGACATCCTCGAGGCGAATCAACTTACTGACGCTTTGGACACGATATCCAACAGTCTGCGCGGAACCTCTGGAGTCGCTGGCGACTATGGCATGTTACAAACCTGTGTGCAAGAACACCCAGACTTCTTTACTCGGACGTGGCCGGCCATCTGCCGAGCCGCACTTCAAATGCCGGAGCTCTTTCCAGAAGGCGGTATTCGAGCTCTTGATAGAACGAACACTAGACATAGACTGTCACGAAGACAATGTGCTTGCTTGATTGCGCATCAATTCCTGTGCAGCCTCCCGCCCCCTCCATGGCGAGACGGGTTCTACGACTTCAGCGTCTGGTATGCTTCGTCCCAGCGCCACCCCATCGCCGTCAAAATTTATCTATCAGCCCTTTTCACCTACTTTGATCGCCTCCAGGAGGAGCTAGAAGAGACATCCTGGAAGGAGAGGCGGTGCCAGGATGGTATTTTGGGTTGCGTAGAGTACTCTCTTCATTCTCTAAGCAGCTCCGAAACGTGCATGCCGGAGACGTGGAGTGCCATCAGTCTCGCTCCGTTGAGAGTAGAAGTGGTGGAGAGGTTCAATACCGAATATCAGGAATGTCGTTGGCAAGAAGGTGCAGTGGTTGTGTCTGCTAACAAGGACATCGGCTTTGGCCAGTCCGCTACGCAAGAGGAGGTCTTCATGGGCAACTCTCCGGAAGCGTGCGTGGCTGTGTTGATCACGCCCACTTTGGCAGATGACCAAGTGTTGGTCGTGCGCGGAGCAGCGCCCGTGTTCCGGATCTCCGGCTGCCGCCGTAACTTAACGGCGTCTGTCATCAAGGGCGAGACCGATCAGGAGATCCATGTGGACAGGCGTGGGGGCGGCATGATGCTCCTCATGGATGCTCTGGAACTGGACGCCACCAGTGGCAGCAGTAGTAATGCCATTGGTGACGTTACTGATGGAATATTGCCGGATCTTCGGCGTGGAAACGTCGACCGAGAAGTGCGCAAAGCCTACACAGCGTTTTCAGCTTGGGGCGACAAGGAGTATCAGCAGACCGTGTGGTCAGGTCTGTGGGGTTGCGGCGCTTTTGATGGAGACCCGGGTATCAAGACGATAGTGCTGTGGATCGCGGCGTCTCTTGCTGGCAAAAAGCTCTGTTTGGTCTGTGACGGTTCTCATGACGGTTTTTCCCAACAGCTGAATTGCCTCATCGCTTCGTCCGCGTCGTGGACGGTAGCAGATCTCAAAAAGCGAATAGACAACATACCGCGCACTGTGGGACGCATGGACACTATGCGATGGTTGGTACAACCTGTAGAGCGTCTACCTGACTGAACCACCTGCAAACTGGGAGGGAATCGCAAAACGTGAATCGCAAAACGTGAATTGCAAAATGTGAATCGCACTTTGTCGTAGATTAAAAACACCCACTGTATCACACAATCTGCTAAGTAGCCCTGTCTTAACTCGAGGTCGTCGCGAGGGAGTCGAATAAAACTTTCCACGCGCCCTCGTTGGTATTCTTCGCGCAATCATTGCACAGACCCTTGATTTCTTGGGCTCGAGTTTTTAGATCGCTGCTGGTCATTGCTTCATTCACTTTGCTGACGATATCTTGGGAGTCGAGTACTTCTTGATCGATGCCGCGTACGGCCACAGCATTCTTCATTTGAGTGGTTAGTAGCAGGCTGTTGACAAATTGTTCGGCACCCATAGGGCAACAGATGACCGGTTTGCCACTGAGGGTACAGGCCTCAATGGTGGAGTTCCATCCGCAGTGGCTCATGAAGGCTCCGAGTGCGCGATGTTGCAGTACGAGGGGCTGGTTGACCCAATTGACGATCCTAGCCCGTTTTCCCTCAAATGACGTTGGGAAACCCCGTTCACTAAAGCCCTCGACACCCTTGTGGGGTGATCTGACTGACCACAAGACGTAGTTGGGTGTCTTGTCAATAGCTGTGCAAATGGCCTTCATATCTTCAGCACTCGGCGAGAAGACCGTACCGAATGCGATGAACAAAACACTTTCATCAGCAAACTGGTTCAGCCACTCCAGATCGCTGTCTCCATCAACAAGACCGCGGCCGATCCGAGCGTCATAGCCAATAACGGGACCGACATTAAGCAGGCCAGTAATTGACTGCTTGATGTTGCTTAGCAATTCCGGACGGTAAAACGCATCAACGTCGTTGCAGACGAAGCCCTTCTTCG